TTAAGATGCCTTGTTGGTAGCGAAATTCCTCTCAACCAAGGATGCTTAACACCTATTTCGGTTGGTTTCTTTTTTCCATTTTTGTGTTCACAATTCCTGGAAGTTCATAGTAGCCGCAGGCATTTGTGAGCACATAAGAGATCAGATAAGCGAATGAGAGCGCACTATTGCAGATCAGAATTCCTCCAGGCACTATTCTAAGCCCGGATGAGAACGCTGCTGTCGTTGGAGGTAATGTGCTAACTTCACAACGTTTATGCGATGTGATATTTCTGGCGTTCAATGCCGTCGCTGCCTCTCAAGGTTAACAAAGATGTTTTTTGTTTGTTTGTTTTTTCTCAGTGCAATAGTTCAATGACTCAGTGCATTTAGTTGTATGATTCAGTAATTGAAAACAATCAGCATTCGCGTGAATGTGATGAAAGCTTGTCACATCGTATTGTCCTCAGTCTACCGATTCAAAGTAAACAAAAAATAGAGAAGTAAAGTTCATATGGTGACAAGTAGAAGAGAGTTTTTGAGTATTGAATCAATTACGAGTGCTTGTCGAGAGTGCGATTAAACCAGACGAACCAACGAAACATCATTATGGAATAATTGGATTTTTATGCATGTTAAACGTTCGAGTATCCATTGAACAAGCGACCTCAAAGCACAGAATAAACCTTTTTGAAGGACAAAAACGCAGTCACTGGCCTTCAATAAGCACTTTTGAATGTACGTGTTCAGTGACGTTAACCGATTGTGAGTGTTTCATTGCGTGTTCGATTTAGTAAATGAGTGTTTTTTGCTGGTCGTTCAGGATGTATGAATAATATTACGTTTGGTGACGGTCAAATAGGTTACTATGAAACTGTTGCTGGAGGTGCTGGAGCCGGAAGCGGCTTCGATGGTCGTTCGGCGATACATACGCATATGACAAACACTAGGATTACGGATCCAGAAATCTTGGAAACCAGGTGATTTATTTGAAGAATTTGTCGAATTTTTCAGTTTTTCACGCAAAATCGTTTCATTGCGATATCAGTTCCACGTGAAATTCTCACATAGAGCTGGTGTGAAGTCATGAACACCCAACGATACAGTAGTGTTTTTGTCAAATTTGCTTGAGTTTGCATTATACGTTGAGTGGAACTCTGGAAGCAGGTGACCATTCGGAGAGTATTTGTTTTCAGTTGCTTTCAAAAGATTGCTCAGGTGAACTGATTCCATCCACAAAACAATATCGCTCTCAGTTTTTTTTAAAATTTGTAACGAATAGAAGAAAGAAAAAGTCCACTACAGTTAGTCGTATGAGCTGGTACTATTCAGTTGTTCCAAATCACCTGCATTTTGATATTCTTTCTAATTGTTCGTCATGATATCTGCTTTATTCTTTGAATTCCGGTACCTGATTCTAATTTTCGATTGCAATCTCCCTACTCTTCTAAATTCGATGCATCCTTGAGCGGGGAATTTAGAAGTGTAGAGAGATTCCACTTTAGAAGCGATGAACTTTCAATTCATCCTTGAGCTGTCAATATTTCGTTTCTTCACATTTCCATCTAAACAAATTCTTTGATTGCATGTGACATGGGAATAATGCGTATTAGCTTATCCACTAAACGATCGTTGGTGCTTTCGTCACTAATTAGTTTGTCCTACTGCTATAGAAACGAAAGTAGACGAATATGTATTTTAATCTGACTGTTTAACGTGCAATAAACTTGCACAGTAATGATTTGCCGTAATATTAGTTCGATCCAATCCTAATTCTTTGATAGGCAGAATCTCTCCAGTTGATATATTACATATCTCTTATGTCATTTTCAAACTCGTAGTCAACCACGAAAGCGACAGTTTTTGTGGTGATAACGTGCAAAAAGCAATTGCATACCTGTTGCCTCAATTTGAGGTAATCGTTTTCAATAGTTTCACATCATTATTACTATAATCGCAATAAGGAAAAAACTGAAAGTCTTTGTGAGCATCAGCAAATGATTTAATACAAAAGAAAAGCGTTGTCGATACAACAAATTGCAAACATTCCTTCAAAATAATTATTTCTGATTAGTCATCAGAATTCAATCAATCATAACGAATGTTTTCGTTTCAAAGAAACACCATCAAAGTTGAAGAATGGAATTACACTAGGAAAAACTGTTCACCCATTCCAAGGTTAACCAACGATTATTGCAATGTTTGAAGTGAAGTTGAAAACATTTGAAAACACTGGCGAGAATTTTTCGCGAAGGAGTAAGTAATGGCGGCAGAGAACAGTACCAGATTGCACTAGTAGCAGTTTCAGATCATGAATTATCCTTGATCGCAACAAAGAATGAATTAATGAATTAGGAAATTCGCAAATTTCACATACAACGATCCACACAATTCTGTTATCAGTTTGCTTTATGAGAAAATTGTTTTCTAATCATGTGCACGTGAAATGAATTGTTCTGATTTGCTTGAATGGAAAGTATTCAGATATCCGGTAATATTGCGCGAATTCTCGATACGCAATGGTTCGGGTGGCTCGGGTCAATTCCGAGGAGGAGATGGATGTATTAGACGCATACAGTTCAGGCGACCACTTCAACTATCCGTTCTCACAGAACGAAGAGCCTTTGCTCCGTATGGAATTGCTGGTGGAAAACCGGGCAAAAGAGGTCTTAATCTTCTACACAAGCGATCTGGCAGAACGGTGAATCTGGGTGGAAAAAACTCTGTGAATGTTGAAGCAGGGGTAGGCTTTCCGCGAATACGATTCCTTAACATCGATTCATTAGTCATGCTAGGTTGCGAATCAAATGCACTGCATACTTCCATCTGTATCAGCATGAATGAAATTTTATTTTGTGCGAACAAAACAATGAAAAATTCCATCGTTGTAATTAGTTTCAGTTTCATCGAAATTATTTTCATGATTGTTTCACAGTGGTAGTTGTGTTCTGTGGCTAGTCATCTTCAAACCTGAACGGATGTTCGCATTTGACAGTTCCACCCGCCATCAAGCATTCATGTGAATCGTTTTCTGCGCATTCACCATTTTCATTACTTGCAGGATATATTCGAACTTCAAACACCCGGTGGCGGAGGGTATGGACAGATGAATTAGGAATTGAACAGTCCTATTGAAGAATTCAGTCGATTTCACTGATTAATATTTGCTTGCTCATTTGTCACATTTGTCATTTCTTCTTTGCTCTTCGGTCGGTTTCACTTGATTACAATTGGTAGCATTTTAAAAAATAATAGTCTTTTTTTCTAAATTTCATAATTAATGCCATTAACGATTTGTCCTTGAAAATGTTAACATGGAATGAAATGGAATGCAACATAAAAAGATGTTTACATCGAATGATAAAACATGCGATGCGGTCACCACAACTGACATCTGCAACTGATGCGTGTTCGAAATATTATGTAAAATGTAATTTGCAAACGTGCTTGAGAAATGTATCGTTGCATATCACCAAATTATTGAGTAAATCACGTAACCGTTTTCGGAGACCGGTATGATATCTTGATCTTGAATAGTCCGGAATATTCTGAACCTCGAAAACTGACAAGTGAACTCACAAAAGCCAATGAGAAAATGTCGTCGTGTTTGATTCGAGCAGTTTTAAAAGGAGTTAAAGAAGTGAATATTTTTGTTCTTTCGTCAGCAAAGCTTAATGTATGTTCTAATAGAGTTAATTTCATGAGATCATAATCAATAGCTGCATAAGGTCGTTGGAACTTTGCTATCACATCTGCCTCGCAAAAGTGCTGCTTTACTTTGCGTTATATGAGCATCGGATGGTTTGGATTGTTTGCAGACTGGGCAGTTGATTTACCGATCGTTTTATGCGATTGACAAAGTTCATTGTTGTTGTTGCGATTGTTTAATGGATTGAAGCGAAAAGAAGCGAAAAAAAAAATTGTTTAATATTCAGTTGTGTTTAGTTTTACAAATTATTTATGGCAGCGGACATTGAGTGTTTGTTGCAACGCTTTCTCGGCCTGTATGGAACAGCATTCTCGAGGATACCGAAAAAGTTATCGTGAAACCAACTCATTCTAGTTAAGATTCTTCGACTTTTACGACGGCCCATTCCTTCACTTTTTCCGTTATTGTCCAATGCAACTTTCATTCTCGTGACATTCAGTCGTTCCCTTTATTTCATTTACGTAACTGAATTCACAAATGTATTTACCGACATTACTAAACGTTCCCACTCAACTGCAAAAAAACTTCTTCCATCGTCGTCCCACTTACCCTACCCGTTTCGATGTTCGACATCTTCCGCACTAGATTAGATGAGAAAAATGCAGTATTGAAAGCATTAATTGGAATATTACGTCGCGTTTATGAAACAGTCGGCAACGAGCGCGATAAAAATTGACGAATTGCAGTTGGCTCCGTTCGCTGTTGTTTTCTCTTAGCACTTCAATTACTGGTCTGCGTTATGATGAAGAAGTGCATCAGGCACACTGATTGAATCAACTGAATTGATAGGGTCCGACTGATTCGAAGTGACACTATGTGAACGTTTTAGCGAACCAATCAATCAGTCAGATATCACTCAATAGTTGTCATGAAATTGAATTGATCATGTATTATTTTTAGTCGACGAAGTCGATGCGTTCATAAACATTTCAGCTTTTCCCTAATGTTTACGCGAAAAACGGCTGGAGAATGGTCCCGAAAGTTGCATGAGAAGAGCGTCGTTTCACCTGTCGAACTGATGCGAATGTCTGAAAAACAATCAGTCAAACGAAAACTTGTGTCCTCTTCATCGAAAACGATGCGTTATTTTTGAACGTTACAAAAGAATCATAACATTGTAAAACCAGTTTGACGAACTATGAGTTGATGGCCACCACTTTTGATGGAATTTCATCGCTTCGATGGAACTTTCTTCGATGTTTTTGCGAAACACTCAAACTGATTCAATTTCGGTCGAATTGCCTTCGGAACATCTGAAAAAAAAAAAAGCACGCAATTTGTAATGCTTTACACATGCGAATTTGATGTTGGACGCAAGCACTTCTGAACTGACTTGTTCATGTGATGGGGATAGCATGAAAGTATCGGAAAAATCGCATCATCGAATGGGTACGTCAAAAAGTATTGGGGAAATTTTTGAGTAGTGTTATTAAAGCAATCGCGTCGACGAAATAAGTGTGGAACTGTTCAACAAGAGTTGTTTTGTGCCAAACAGAGGTTTATTTCTTTGGATTATGTTCTCGGAGATCACGTGC